ATTGTAAGGAATTGAAATAGATCCCAAACCTGAGATATGAAAATATAATTTACCCTATTATTTATATACATGTGCGCAGTATACATATTATCTCCTTGGTCAAATCTGATACTTAATTTTGCCTTAAACACAATTTTTTTTAGCATATTTCAATGGATTTTGGGTATTTTATGGGTATGTGGTAATCAGGCGCAAAATTGGATGGAGTTATTCGAAATAAGGGTAACGTGCATACGTTTGAATGTCAATAACTTTAGGGGTATAGTCAAATTAAGACTTAAAAGAGGAATTTGGAATCAGTGTAGTCAATTAGAACTTTTATAGAGAATTTTAAAAGATTTTAAAATTATGTTGTAGTTAAACTAAGATTTTAAAAGATTTTGAAATTAGAATTTTAATGGGTAAAAGATTTGATAGATTTGAGGGAGGGTGGTATAAATACCAAAGGCATAAGAAATCTATCCGTCCCCTTATAATTTCTTTTCACATAGGAGGAATAGTTCATACGCATAGAAGAGGAATGGTTCATATGCACAAAAGAGGAACAGTCTTCTTCCATCTGCACAAAAGAACAGAACACTTGTTCATGTTTGTAGGAACGTGTCGAGATTCAAGCTTCCGCACAAAGGTAGGTACGTTCTTCCAACATATCCAAATAGAATGCGGTTGCACCCAATCTCACGTTTTCTCTGACTGCTTTAATAAAAATGTCATGCTCCCCACACTGCACAAGCATAAATTCTCTCTTAGATCTCAACCAAGGACGCGTAACTGTGGTGCAATAATCTCGCGTCCACTCTTTCTTATAAAAAATTTCAACATCCACGCCTCAATGTTGATGTTCTCACCATGAGATGAAGTATCAACGACGGTTCATAGAGAGAGAATATGTGCCAGAGTTGTCCTGAGAAACACGAACAATTTTGTAAGTGGTGATTGTATTATCGATCGAATCTCATTCCATCCCATTATCCAATATCTCGAGAGTAGAATCTCTACCATACAAGTGACTGTTTGGGTGCGACTAATTAAAACTTGTGCACTAAGATAAGGATTGATTAACAACGTCCATGATCCATTCTAATGTTTCAAGCAAAACAACATTGAGATAACCAAACTGTATCTCATAAAATATGTTCGAACCCATAATCTTGTGTGGACAAGGTGTCCGAAAAACTAAGAACATGGATGTTGGTCTTAACTGAAGGCGCGTTTGCCCTCATTGTGTTTGATTACTTGCAACGCCATGCTTTCTAGAGGTTCAACAACACTTGATCGAGCAAAAAGCATAAGTTGAGGTCCAGCATGATGATCTGTTGTACTGTTGGCGATCTGTTGTACCGTTGGCTCTTGAGAGTTGGAGACACTTTGATCGAACAGAGTAATTTTTGCGGGAGTCTGAGAAAGATGTTTGACGAGGATATCAGTTGAACATGGTAGATCCATCAACTTTGTTTCTAACTTTCGTTTGAGTGTAAAGGAATTTCTTATCTTGAAATCATCTTTGATCCTAAGTACTAAATCAAATTATGAGCTTTTTTCACTTGGAAGCCCGTATAACATTTATACTTAAAAAGGGTATTCTCAATGTGGTTATGCTAGTTGGCGAACTCGAACCAAATAATTTTGCCCACATCAGTTTCAGCTTCAAAGGGGAGGTTTAGACTTTTCAATCTTGTGCCGTGTCTCCCAAGGTAAAAAATAGAGCTTAAGATAAAAACACAGATTCCTAATATATTGTAAGTACGAAAAATAAACAGTGCCAAAGAACAATGGAAGTAAGAACTAGGAAGCTAGACCAAATCAAGTTGCAAATAGGAAAGGACATAGGACTTGGTAATTCTTTCCTAACTGAAATTCTAAAAGAAAATAAAGAATTTTACACAATCCAAAACCTAATCGGACTAAAAATAGGTTTCCTGATCCTAGTCTGATTTTAACTAAACATACTGGTAGACGCCCTCTATATATACTCCTCAAGAGTTTGTCTCGATACAGTTAAGATTAATCTTTCTGCGGTCGAAAAAATAAATCGACATGCCGCCTTCAATTGAAGCTCTTGCAATGGCTGGTGCTGATTACCTCAAATGTGGCATTACTTTGAAGGAGCTGGACAGAAACGACTCAGAATCACCACCTAGTCATTTACTGGTCGATGCATACCAGAGCGATATGGATTTCTTTAATTTCCTAAGCCAGTCTCCATCCAATTCCCTCAGTCAGAGAGGGTGCAATGTTGAGTACTATAACGAAGAACGCAAGGATGGCGGACACCAGTTGAAGAGATTTGAAGAAGTTAAGTCAAACCATGAAAAAAGGGACGTGGATACGAGGAAAATCTAAGTGGTGTGAAAACTGACATGGTTAACATACGTAATTTAGAGTAGGTTTGTACAGTGGCCAGTCACACATGCATATAACATGTTCAAACTTCAAAGGTTCCTCGCTGAAACGATTTTCTATTGTATTTGAATGAACTTGTTTGCGTTATAAACTTTTTTTTGGTATTTATTTGCAGGATATCTGGATAACTAAAAAACTTTTAACCCAACCACCACGGGGTGATCCAGTGGTTAAGGATGAATTCAAGGCTTGGATTTCACACAGTATGTTCTATTCCTAATGTTAGTGAATCACATGATGATAGCTAGGGGAAGCTGAAATGTTTCTATGAGTCTTCTCAACCTCCGAAAAAGTAGACGTGAAAACACCACAAATTGGTCCCCTACTTAAAAAATAAAAAAAGAACGAAAAAAAAAACTATTAACCCTACCATGCAAAAGATTTTTTATTCGCTTCGTGACACATATAATACCTTTTTCGTTATTTTTAATTTAATTTTATGATACAATACAAATTCCTCATCTAGCTTTCACTACTGAAAGAGGAAAAAGAATAATTACAGGATTGATGCCGGAACACATATGCAAGAAACAAATATTTTTGAAAGTTGATCTACAATGATCAAGCCAATTTAAACCACACTCGTTCCGAAAGAAGTTCTGAATTTGAATCTCTCACGTCCTATTCAGATAGCATGGGGCTAAATGAAAAAAGAAAATTGTTGTAAAATGTTGGTGATTAGTAATATTTTTCTTACATATTAAGAGAATGTAGATAGAATGTTGTGTTCCTTTTATATGCAGATGAACTACCAAGACGCTTACATAAGTGCATGAGAGAATATGTGCCTTCTTCAATGAGCTCCAATGATATGCTTTATGGAGAAATATGGGTAAATTCTACTGATACCATTCACATTCATATCATATCATGTGTTTACTGATTAAAATGAGGTATAGGGCAACCAGGGAGAGATATTTCAATGTGACCATCACACGAGATGATATATCCACTTGTCAATATATAAATAATAGGATATGTGTGTTAAAAAGTTAATAACTTAAAAAATAAAATTTCACACTACTTGCATAAAAACACGTGATGTATCATATATGTTTCCGTCATAATGAAAAATTTTTCGCAATGAGAAGGTTATTTATCTCTCTTTTTTTCTTAAAGGAAAACGATAATGTCATTAACTTAGAAAAGGATTACAATGAGTCTTAGAGGAGGGCATCCGGGACCTCACTCCAAACCATATTACAAACCAATAGACAAAGCACACTTTTTACGTTTTTGGTTTTTACGTTTGCATTCAAATTGATCAATTCAAATTTTGCGAAAATTTGAGCCGTATTCATTTGTTCTCTACGAGCATTTAAACAAATGCAGATTTTTGCATAATATTTAAAGATACTGCGTTCGTTTTTTCTTACATCGGGGAGACTTTGTTAAGATTTTTAAATGGGTAATCTTTGTACCATAGTTCTACCCAGTCGGAGGTATTTCAAGCGGGGAAGAACTACATTGCATTTGCGGAGGAACTTGGATGTAACATCCCACATCGTCCAGGGAAGTGGATCATGTAAACCTTATATGTATATTTTCATCTCTACCTAACATGAGGCTTTCTGAAAACTCACACGAGAACTTCCTAGTGGGTCACCCATCCTGAGAATGGTCGTGCTATGGTGGAGTCGAGCCCGGGATATGATGGGGGCCCGGGCCGGGATGTGACATTGGAGATCCTCCAACCAGTTCAAGGCGGTTTTTTTTACCTTCTTTTTTGACAAGATGTTTTTGTATCTTCAACTAGCGACTTGTATTTGAATATGAGAGCATTTCATTTTAGCTTGTATTTTTGTTTAGGCAAATTCCTCGTATACACAACAAGTGTTTGTAAAATGTTTGCATAAGGTTTTTTTTTTTTCCCTTTTATGAGCCTTAAGAGGCCAGGCGTGGGTACAATCTTATTGCATGGGGTACAGTTTTCTGTTAGCATATATGGAGACTTCACATCAGCTTTTCAATGACAGACTTCATGAATAACTTGAATTGGGGGACTGAAATTTGGGAATTTCAGTTACAATGCTCTCCCATTGTTTTGCTGTGATAATCAGTGATATGAAGTATAATTTTTAAATTAAAAATTTTAATAAATAAAATAAAAAGCTGACATAGAAATATGTGAATAATAAAATGCTGATATATACAAAGCATAGAGATCTTGATTAAGAAAATGAAATTCAATAAGGTTTCGATCAAATAATTATACCAACTAAGGACCGGATACAAAGTGTCTCTTAAAAATATCTACTTAATGTATTTTTGCCCCTTGACGTTAGTTCTGTAGCATCTTTAGTTCGTAACAGATGTTCTTCAGTTCGTGAATTTGATTTTCCTAACATTATCTATTTTCGCTCCATCTCAACAACCTTGTTCTATTAGGAGATACCATCTTTGCATATTGAATTATGAAGCATTGGTTCTCTTCTTCAACTTACCTTGCCATCCAATATTACTATTGTTTCTAAATAATTTTCATCCTACGCTATTGTATTTGATCCCCAAAAGCCTCTCATTCCTCCTCCTTGGCTACTTTTCAACCTATGCATAAGTTCTCCAGCACCCATTTCTTTACACGTAACATCACATCCAAATGAAAATTGCAACCCTATCCAACCCACCAATCGGCATCACCCCCTCAAACCGACCCAAAATATATCACCCGGTCCTCAATTTAGTCACTACACAGTTCCAAAGCTAACCCAAAATGCCATGCTTCAGCATCACCCAGTCCAAAAACTCATGCCACCGGTTCACCTTTGCCCGAGCCGGCCTCCGGTCTGCAATCACCGACCTCAAAGACGGCGCCACCACCATACACTGCTGGGTCCCGCAATCCCCGAACCCTTCCAAGCCCAACCTCCTCCTCATCCACGGCTTCGGCGTCAACGCAATGTGGCAGTTCGTTGACCTCCTCCGCCATGTCACCCCTCACTACAACGTCTACGTGCCGGATCTCGTCTTCTTCGGCGACTCCTACACGACCCGGCCCGACCGGTCCGAGTGGTTCCAGGCCGAGTGCGTGATGCAGGCGATGGAGGCGCACTCGGTGCGGAGGCTGAGCCTGGTGGGGCTGAGCTACGGCGGGTTTGTGGGCTACAGCTTGGCTGCCATGTACAAGGAGGCGGTGGAGAGGGTTGTGATATGCTGCGCCGCCGTGTGCCTGGAGGAGAAGGACCTCTGGGAAGGTGCGTTTGGGATCTCGGATTTGGATGAGGCGGCCGGGATTTTGACGCCGCAGACGCCTGAGAAGCTGAAGGAGTTGGTTAGGTACACGTTTTTCAAGCCACCTCCGGTTGGGTTGCTGCCCTCTTGCTTGCTCATGGATTTCATTCAGGTAAATTGAACTTACTGATATCTTGATTTCAGTTTAATTGTTGTAAGCTTCGTTTATTAGGGAGAATTAGATTAAAATTATGGATTAACATAATAAATATTTACTCAATCAAAGCCCTCAAATGATAGTTTAAGAGGAAGAAATTAGCAGTCTAATCCTTTCAACATGAAAATCATTGTCTCCATTAATTGTCCGATATTAATGTAGGGGCAAATAAGGAAGTTAACTACCGTGACTAATTTCGCTTGTATTTAAAAAGGTAACTATATTACATGTAATAGGAACAATTGTCTTGTGATTTTTCTCTGATGGTTTGTTTGTTTGTTGTTTTTTTTTTTTTTTTTTTTGAAAAGTACGATATTATTGGAAAAGAAAAAATCGTACAAAGTATGGAGAACACAAACATTGTCGAAAATTTTAACTCAAACGAAAGGAAAAAAAGTGTAACGATTCTTGTTTCTAAAATATTTATAATACAAATAAAATAAAATAAATGGAAACTGTAAAAAGATTATTTTGCACCTTTGTTAAGTATATTTTTTTTAAAGTTAAAATGTGGAATGCAAAAGGATTTTTTTAAAGTGCTAACGAAATCTACCAAAACAAATACTTATTTTTAGGATTTGGATAGAATATAATATGGTATTCCAAATGCTGCGAAGAGTTTTCACCGTTAATTAAAAATAAAGTGATAACTTATGTTCTGGAAGTATCTAATCAACAGCTAGTTGACACGTCAAAATTTAGTCTATTAAAAAATAAATCATATCTTAAGTTCTTGGTGGGGAATGATTAGTCATATAATCCCTTGTCTTATTGAATCATTAGTCATGTGCATGACAATTGACAAATCAACAAACAACATGGTTTGGTTTGGTATAAAAAAACTCTTAAAACAATTACAAATTATTCATGCAAGTAATTGTTGCGATTACGTTTATACGAAGAGTAGTACTGCACTTATTATTCATATACATTTTTCATACCACATTTAGAGGTAGGGCCCACTAATACATGTCGATCTTTTCTCTGTCAAAAATACAATACAAATGTGGTATGAAAGATCTGATGCGTAAAATTTTTGTATTTATATACCGATAGATAAAAGCAAAAGTTCCATGATACTCTGAAGTACAAGATACTCCGAGCTTCTTAGCAAATTAAATTTTGGTTTTTGTATTTTGAGACTAAGATTTAACGATTAAAATACTCTAGAAAATTGTGGAAAATCCCTAGAAAAAGTTCTCAGTTTAAATAGGACTAAAATTTTGGTGGAATGAGCAGGCAATGTACTCCGAATTTGTGCAAGAGAAGAAAGAGTTGATCCACGCCATCCCCAAAAACCGAAAGCTTTCAGACCTCCCCAAGATTCCTCAGGTTCAAATGTTCAATCTTCTTAATTAAGAAATGTTTAAGTCAGTTCCTCAAACGCACCAGTGATTTTCAACTATTAATGCATGCAATGCCAACGGTTGAAAATCTCCCGGGCGTGTGAGCATGATTATCTTTAGCAAATCCTTTATTAAATAATACATTTCAAATTTCATTTCGTAGCCAACCCTTATAGTTTGGGGAGAACATGATCAAGTATTTCCAGTTGAATTTGCTCACAAATTAAAGAGGTCAGTTTTCTGATGCTCGAGTATTGACCAAATGCATTTGTTTACGGGCAGTTTTTAGTTTCTACTTTTCAGTTTGGTTTGGTTACTACAACAAAAAACTGAAAATCAAATTTTGGAAACTGAAAAAAAATAGTTTTTAGTTTTCGTTTTTCGTTGTTATTTTTTGAAAGGTGAAAACTGAAAAAGAAATGATTATCAAACTCACTCACTCATTCGGAATTTTGAATTCTTTGAAAAAACATAGGCACTTGGGAGAAAATGCTCAGCTTGTAGTAATCAAGGATGCAGGGCATGCATTGAACGCAGAAAAGACCAAGGAGTACCACAAGCACATCAAGTCCTTCTTACTCGATTCACTGCCCCCTCCGACAAGTTCATCTGCTAAACATCAAAACCAGCCAGACTAATTAATCATTGTAAAGAAAAATCGCGCACGTGGACGACTCTCAACTGTTGACTCTCTCATGCATCAGCGGCCTGGAGTTGCCCACTCACGCGTGGCTGATTGACGCAAGCACATTGCCGGCACATGCTTCATCCAAGCACAAGCTTGTGTTCTACCGAAGATGGAAAAGGAGATTCATTTGAAGGGTCCTAGTGAATGTAACTTTCATAGCATAAGGGGCAAATAATATGCCTACCCTGTAAACTAATTTATTCAATGAGAGATGTGTATCAAATAGATAGATTGCATGTTATAGTTAACGAACAAGCCAAAGTAGCCAAGGGTTCGATTCCCTCCAATGCACGTATACAACAAGGAACATGGGCCGAAAATCAATAGCCATGTCTCGTTCATGAAGAAAGAAACAAATCTGATAGGGAGAGCATATGTAAGTGTTCAACATTTTGGCATACAAATTCCCTCAGGATCACAAATTTAGAGTATGATTATGTTAATAGACAATACATACACTGATACAAGCCAATAGCAGTACTCACTTTCCCTGCACTACAAACTTAGTAATCTGTTGAGTCACACGGCTTATGTTGCTCCATCGCTGAAAGCCAGTCCCAAATAATTAGTCTCTCCAATCCCCATTTAGTTCTGCACATTGATTACTAATTAGGGATTGAAGGAAGCAAGCCAATGTAACAAACAAACCAGAAAAACTATGTCCGAAAATAAACGGCTCACAGTGGAAATGAACTTTTGCGAAATCAAAGTGCATTTTTTTCTGTCATAGTATTACCCGCCTTACCTCTGGATGGGGTTCTTCAACTTTAAATTGCTCACCTGACAATTCAATGAAAAAAATTCAGTAATTATGAATTAAGTGCATAAACTCAGAACAACTAACTTGATTTACTTTTCATTAATTACACAAGCAGCAACAACAAAAGATTGTTAAGACGGAGAAGAAGATCAGACGGGGAAGTATTTCTTGATGCAAACAACAAAAAAGAACGTAAAAGCAAACATTTTCATTGAGCAAAAGATAACTAACCACTACGCTATCGAAAGAATGAGAAAGAATAATGAATTTATGAAGATCTTGCCCTGTAACCCGACGACTCCAATTAAGAGGGATTATCAGGACTTGTAGAAATCATAGTGACATGACTTGAAGATAATTTGGAAAGTTGGACAAAAGATTCAAAACAATGCAGAAAGAAAGAAAATGACTCATAAAATTACCTCCCTCTGGCAGATCCGAGGTCCACACTGTGAGATTATCTTTGAGAAGCTGCATAATGAGGCTACTGTCCTTGTAGGATTCTTCGTTGAGGCTGTCAAGTTCAGCAATAGCCTCATCGAATGCCTTCTTAGCTAGATGACACGCTCTGCATGGTGCAATTTGCAAATGGAACACAAAAGTAAACACTACGTAAAATAACCAGAAGGAGGCAGCCAAGGGGGAAGAGAGAAAGGAAGATTAGGGAAACCTCTCAGGGGAGTTTAGAATTTCGTAGTAGAAAACAGAAAAGTTTAGAGCCAGGCCAAGCCTGATTGGGTGTGTTGGGGGCAACTCAGAGGCAGCAGTATCAATGGCATTCTGCAGCACATATGTAAATTTCGTTAGGATCTAGTTATTGGTACGTGAATATAACAAGACGGTGAAAAGAAAGTGAAAACATGACAGGGAAGAGGACATCCAGCAAGAAAGCAGATCAAAGCTTAACACATTGTTGAGATTTTGTGGCATCCTCCTCTAAATAATTGGTTTAAAGTTAAAATTGGTGGTGCTGCTCGTGGTTGTCCTGGTTTTGCGGGTTTTGGGGGTATTTTTCAAAATTCTGTTGGCTTTACTTTGGGTTGTTTTGCCTGGTCTTTACAATCAGCTTTTGCTTTAGAAGCTGAACTCTTTGGTGGGGTTGAAGCGGCAACTCACGCTTGGTCTTAAGGTTGATTTTATTTATGGATTGAATGTGACTCGTCATTGGATGTTCACTTTTCTTTAATTTCATTGGGGCCATGGTGTCTTAGGGTTCATTTGTTAGACTGTTCGGCTCTCTTAACTAAAGTGCGTTCTCGTTTTTGTCATATTTTAGAGGGCAATCAGGTTGCTAATTCCTTAGCTAATTATGTGGTTGATCACGTTGGCTCTCACTGGTGGGATCCTGTCCCATATTTTGCGATCCCAGTGAGATCCTGTCCCATATTTTGCGATCGCAGCTTATTCTGGGGATTTTTCAGGATTCCCTAGCTATCGTTTTTCTTGATTTGTTGGCATGGTTTCTTTTTCAGGGTTTGGTTCTTTGTCCCTCCCCTCTTTGTACCTACTTTTTGCTTCTTTAATAGTTTAATAAGCGGAGGGGGTTGATCCCCTTTATTAAAAAAAAAAAAAAAAAAAACAAAAAACAAAAGAATCAAAGCATACCACATAGGCTTTGAGCGACTGATCAGCAGCTTCTTTACGAGCATCACCTGCTTTGAATTCAGCTAGATATCGATAGTAATCTCCTTTCCTGTCACACGAAACAACAAGGATCACAACTCAAATCTCTCTCTCTCTCTCTCTCTCACATTCACTTGCCAAAGAAAAGCGAAACATGAACTTGTATTGTGACAAAGTCTGTCAAAAGGAATAGGCATTGGGGTGAAGATCCTTCGTAATCTAAATCTAATACGCACAAAAAGTCAACAAAAGTAAGAAATTCAAAACCAAATTGTAGCTCACATCTTCTGGTAAAAAACAGTGGATTCCCCTGTGGACGCAGATGGGAGGAGGTGATTATCAACAACTGTTAGTATATCATGGCAAATTTTCGCAAGCTCGTCTTCAACCCTCTTCCTGTACTCCTTTATTCTCTTCTCATTTTGTTCACTTCCCTTTGCCTCCTCCTTCTGTTCAATTGAAGACAGTATCCGCCATGACGCCCTTCTTGCCCCGATCACATTCTTATACCCAACTGACACCAAATGTCGCTCCTCCACGCTCAGTTCCACATCCAACTCGGCAACTTTCTTCATTTCTTCAACCATCTCTGAATCAAGAAAAATGAACTGTAATTAATATGTAATATGCAAGTCTAGAAAATACCCATCAACACAAAAATTATTTGCACTACTGCCACCACAGATGATTTCAAAACTCAAATCAGCAACGTTCGGGAAACACTGCTGCACAAAAGACAAGACTAATACCATATCAAAACTAACAAACAAAATTAAACAATTTCCATCAACTTTACATTCCACATACAAACCAAATAAATGGTCCCCAACTGAGTCGGAGAACGAACAGGTGATCGAGGATGGGGTATGACATGTTTCACAATCAAATAGTGTTTAACAAAACCAGTTTTGCTTGTAAACAACTGGGAATTTTGTGTCTGCTTTGGAAAACCTAATGTATAGGTATCACTTCTCCATTTGCTATCCTTTTGGGATCGAAAAACCAGGCTAAGCGATCAAGGATCAAACCGAAAACTTGAGATAATCATTACTTTAGGATGAACATGCAGTAATTAACTTGGTCTAATTAACTTAGACGAACTAGATGCTTGTTGAGTGAACTCATTTAGTATTCTTCCAAAGCCAAGAAAATATAACAAAATATAACACCACCAATCCCAAAAGTAAGAAAATGAAATGAAAAATAACATCACCACAGTACACTTGCTCAAATTTAATTATATTATATCATCTACAAAATAGATGAGACTGAGTACCAAAAATACGTCAGAAATAAGGAAATAGTAAAAAAGAAAACGAAGCGTCCATGCAAGAAGAAGAACATATACATACGTACCATCGTATCTTTCGGCTTGCTCAGCAAGCTTTGCCTGGTAAGCGTGCTTCTCTCTCTCTATCTCCATAGCCTCTCTCTCTCTCTCTCTCTCTCTCTCTCTAGAAACTCTGGTTCTGGCAACCTTGGAAAGCTACAACTATATAATATGCTCTTCTTATATATCTCTTGTCGCAACCTTCCGTCTATCTCTTTTTATCACATGACTAGTCAATAGTGCAACTGACAGACGGTTGGATCTGGTTAGCGGACAGGTTGTAGGATCAATGGTCTGAGTGAGATAGGTCTGGATTTTGTGAACCCTTCCCTTGGATCCTTGGACGGTGAGATACGGGCGGGTGGATGGAATTGGATCCGAAACGAGGATCACATGGAGCGATATGGTTGGATGCTTTATTGATCGGGACAACCACTGATATTGGAAAGGGTGAGTGGTGCACTGCAAGTGGTCTCCATTTTGAGCGACATGTTATGTCAACTCCTTTTTGTTTTCACCGAGAGAGATCTTCGAGAGTGAGGCTGCCCCACGAAGAAAATGACTTATTTTTATAATTATATGTGTTATATTATTGTGACCGTATCCTAAATTAATTATTATCATATAAAAATAGATCATTGAGTGAACTGGTGAGAACAAGTATCCCCCCCTCTTTCTCTATTGGATTGATATGGGAATTGGGTGCTTCGAAGAGAATGCTGGAAGAGGAAACATATTTGCAGATCGCGGTTGCTAAATCGTGGTTGGAGAAGGAGGCTGGGCTATGTGGTTTGCTTTGGATCTGCAGATCGCTAGGAGAAAACAGGTCTGCAACTATTTGTTTTCATAATTGCGATGATGGGATTAGCAAGGCTATGGCAGATGAAGAGAGATGAAGAGAGATGGAGAGGCGTGAAGAAGGGAAATTGATGAACTTAAGTTTTTTTTGTTTTTTTGTAATATATTAGAATTACCATGTTTATCTTGAAGTTCATCAATTTATAAAGTAAAAGATAAAAGAATTTGAAGGAGATCTAAATTTAATTATTTAGATCAGAATGTGAAATTTAGTTTTTATAATTAAATTTAAAAAAAATAAAATTTAGTCATAATCTGACACTGCACCAAACGCTTCATAATTTTAGCCAATCTAGTTTAGTCCATGAAGCTATTCCAATCTGAGCTAGTTCGGTGCAACAAATGCATCTTAATATACTTTAAAATCCGATGTAGTCAATTAGGCTTTAAAAGGGGATTTTAAAAGATTTTGAAGTCATGATACAGTCAACTTAAGATCTAAAAGTATTTTGAAGAATACATTCAAATTCAACAGTAATAAATTAAAATTTTAAAAAATCCATTTAAATCTGTAGGTATTCAAAATCTCATAGAATTTGAGAGATTTTCATTTTTATATTGGTCAAAATGCGAATTTTATTATCAATAACCAACTAAACACAGAGGTCCAAACAAGTGACACACAACAAAAACAAAAGGAACCCAAAGTTCCACAACACAGAGCCCAAAACACTAGTTGGAGCCCAAAAACTAAAACACCACAAACAAAACACGCTAGCCTTCTGCACACGCCTCCAGCGCTTACACAAAGCATCCCCGTTAGCGTAAACCAACGACCCGGACCGCCGTCAAGCATGCACCTCCCAGAAAAGAGAAGATGGTGACTCCTACATCCTGCAACAACCACTGTGCTGAACGCAACCAGAATACAAAAGAAGCTGGGGGAGAACCCACCGACGACAGTGACAAATAAGGCAAGCAAGTGGAAGGTAATGGTGTGTACACCCGAGTAAAAACTCTACACATCTTCCAAGAGAACCACAGCCAAGTACTGTGAAGAAAGGAGATTGCAGATCGGAAAAGGAGGAAGCAACGAGGAAGGATGGAGATTGCAGATCGGAAAAGGAGGAAGCAACGAGGAAGGATGGAGGCAAGTGGAAGAAATGGGAGAAACAGAGTGAGAGAGGCGGATAGGAAAGGTAGGCAGTGGAAAATTGAAGCAGAAGGAAACGAAAAGAAAGAACAAGGAAGTAAAGCAGAGGACTAACCACCGACCCTTGCCGGAGCTAGGGCCGGCGGCTGTGGAGAAAAAGCAAAGATGGAAAAACTCACACAGAGAGATGAGAAAGGCTCGGAGACAGAGAGAGCACAGATTTTCCCTCCAGAAAATCGCCCAAGAAAAGAGAACTAGGGTTTCATATTGAAGGCAAATATCCCAAATTCCCTCCATCATGTCCCAAACAGTTGTAGATCTCTCTCAATTCGACATCTCCAAAGAGCTAAGAACGCACTCACACACTCTCACTCTCGGTTTTCGCATCAATTCCGCAAATTTCAGATTTTTCGTTTTGGGTTTCTGTTTTTTTCTCAGGAAAAGGACAAGCTTGTTGCAGTAGTAATTCGATACGTGCTGTTCAAGACGCACCACATCTCGGGGTGTCCGATAAAGAGACCAATAACTATCGCCAGCGTAACCTTCCTACGTTCATCATTAATGAGGCTATACAGAAGCTCTCCGCCATTTTTGGGTACGAAATGCAGGAGCTTCAGAGGTCTCGTCCTTCTTCCGCTAATCAGGGACGCCTTTCTCAACAGAGTAATATTCTTTACTTTGGAAATTTTGATATTGAGTTGCTAATTAAGCTCAAGGTTGTAAATTTGTTTGAATTGTAGTTTTGTTGCGATTTGTTTTGGTCTGAGTATGGTAGGATCCATTTGATAACCATATGAGCTGGAATTGGCCAAACCATATATAATGGAGATTGAGATTCCTAAGTTGCAGGAAATGTAGTGTTTTTTCTTTTCAATTAAAGGTTATATGTTCCCTTTTGGAAAATGTTCAATTGTGATTTTGCACAGTGCATATCATTCATTAGAAATTTTGAGGATTTGGGTTTTGACGGTAGTTTATGAACACATTATTCAGGTGCTGTGGAGGCAAAATCCTATATCATCACGAGTAAGCTTCCTTCTGATGTGTATAAGAAGTATGTCTTGAATGACAATGATAGTACGGTTCCTCTCAATGGTTTCACTTTTGTCCTACTGAGTCTTGTACATATATCCGGCGGTAAAATGACTGAACGTATGGCTGCCTTTTGGTTTTATTTATAATTTTATGTCTACAAGCTAATCATTGTGAAAGGGAAGATGCCAGGATAGCTGGCAGAACAATTTGGGTAGGAAATAGCTTATATGTAACCCAAATTCATTGATGAATACTTTTATACACATTCGGTGATCTGCTTGCTTAATGGGCTCTTCCACATCTGGTATAATGAGATTGTGTTGCAAAGTGTATAGATCAGACATCATCACATATTGTCTTAAAAATAGCCAAAAACCAATGCAGGCAAGCATTTATTTTCTGTTACCTTGTGTCGTGTTGTGTTGTGAGAGAACCAACTCTTGCTGTCCTGGTGGAACTGCAGCGGATCTTTGGCTTAATTTGAGATGAATGGGATTGGACGAAAGCAATGAAAACCATCCAGTTCTAGGAAACATAAAGCAAGCACTGGACACACTTGTCCAGCAAAGGTTTGGCTTGTTATGGATTGTTTATTTGCAGTTCTTTTTTATCGTCATGATTGTATGTTATTGACCATCCATAGGTATCTATCTCAAGTATTGTTCTTCGTTTCAGATATTTGCAGAAAGACAAAGTAAGTGGACCTGAAGGCAATACTTTGTTTTATGAGCTTGGGGAGAGAGCTTTAGATGCACCATTTAGTGAGAGCACTAAAGCACACATATCAGAGGTATGATTTAGAGATTAATCACGTAATGATAATATAATTTATTCATGATTAGGTATTTTGAAGAGCTATAAGTTCGTCCTGTTTGGAGTGTGTATTATCCCCCCTCAACAACAAAAAAAGTATCTTTGGAAAATTACTCATGTCAAGTTGCATGGTTTTCATTCATAAGGTTGTTAGAGGTTCAAGTTTTTCATGTCTCCACTATTTAATTGGAAGTAGCTCTACACAGAAACAAAACCTGAAAGTTTGTGCAAGGTAGTGCTGTAGACAGAATAACGCAATGAACAGTGTAGACAGTTAATGCAGATTGCAAAGAAAACAACACATTAAGCTCACATTTAAGGAAGGTAGAGGAAGTACACATTGGTTTTCTATCCAGATTAAAGATAGGCTTTACTAGAGTTGACAGCGGGAAGACTAGCTGAGCCTGTGTTATAAAGGAGGAGGGGCCCTGCAGTTTAGAAGGGAGAGGAAAATTAGGAAGAAAGAGCGGGAATTGGGGAGTGGAGAAGGGAGAACTTGGATGGGGAGAGAGGGGCCCTGAACCATCCAAGTCCTTAGGTGGCTCCGCCGTTGGCACCCGTTACCAAGGCAAATGAAGAGGAAAAACAGGTTAAGGCAGGAGTAAAAGAAAAGATGCACATGATAATTTTATTGGCTTAGCTACTTAATTTCTAGCCAGTTACTGAGAACAGTAGCAAACCAAAAATTAAATGGGATTAGTGTAAATACGGATAGAGGTGAAGAGTCTAAGAATAGGTGTGAGCTAAAGAATCTAAGAATAGGTATGAGCTATACAAGCAATTCTGTTTAGGACAATGAGGAAATACTACTCTGTTTTTGGGAGTACAGAACAACAAGAAAATAAGGAACCATAAGAGGTTGCAAGAAAATGGTAGAAACTACCACCATCAAACTAGTTGGATACTATAATTACTCCTAAAACCCTAGAGACAAAGAAGCATATGTAGCTGAAACATTCTCTAAATTCATTCATGTCCTGAAAGAAAATAGTAAAAGACTAAAAGAACAAAAGACGATAAAAGCTAAAAGATATTAAAGACCATTGAAAGAATATTCTCCCGAGGGTGCTGCCACTTATTTACAACTCTTAAATTGCTTTGCTAAATTAACACGGGAGAAGCCTTGTTCAGCGGTTTTGTTGCTTTGTTGCAGAAAAGATTGCAGTTATGTTATTTGTTTTTCTTTTAGCTTTGTATAAAAGCTCAGGGTTTAGGGTTTAGGGACCTCAAGTCACGAATCCCATTAGTTTTCAACCTTCCCAAACAGAAACCCTGGCACTGTAAAAGTCTTAGTCACCGGTCCTTGCTTTGGCTTGGGGCTGTCGTCAGTCTCTCCCCCCTCCTTCTAGCGCCTCCCCCCTTCTCCTAACCTCTCCGCGTCCCTAGCCTCTCCACTCCCTGCCTCCCATCCCCCTCCTTTTCCCCCAACCACTCCTCCGCGACCCTCCCTGTCTTTTCCCCTTTCTATCTAGTCCTTGGTTCTGGGCAGCCCCTATTCTCCCCAACATTTTGTGGGCAACCAATCTTCACGGCTTTGATGCAGCGTCCACCCCAAAAATCGAGATCCACTGGCTGAGAAGGCCTATTCCCTTGATTTAGCGCAAGATCCGCGGGTTTGGGTGGGTTATTGGTTGTTGGTGGGTTGGATCTTCCCTTTGTGGCTTGATTTTCAGGGTCATGTCTAATCCGTGGCGGCACTGCCTTCCCTGACCAGATCTGTGGCGGCCTTGCCTTGCTTGGCTCACAGTTGTGGCGGATCTCACTAGAAGTGGTAAAGTTGCAGGTGGAGATGAGCCAATCATCGAAGAAGAGCCAACCGGAGGATTTCGTTTCTCGGATTATTGTAGGTTCGGTGTACGTTTGTACTGCATCTAGTGGGTGATGTCTCGCCTAGTGAGTGACGCGGCCCGCATGTGAGATGGTTTTGATGTGGCCTCGCTTGTTAGCATGGTTTGATGTTGTCTCGCTTGTGTCGCGGAGACATTTTGTGTGTTCTGTTATAAGTCTGTTCCATCTGCCGTCTTTGTGGCAGATTTGTACCAATTGTGCTTGTGCTAGTGTGTGGGCGTTTGTGGTAGCCAATTAGGGGATTGTCATTATTGCTTGTTTGTGCGAAGTGTCTCCAGATCAAATATATGGTCACTGCCCATGTGGCAACCTTTGCAACTGTTATCGTTTAGTAATGGAAAATCGGTATTGTTTCTTGTAAAAAAAAAAAAAAAAGACTCAAAAGTTTTCCCTGTTCAATCGAATTTCTTATGCTATGTTATGTACTTGTATGAATCCATTCTTGTAGATTAGATTGTCTCCGTGGATGTCGACGACTAGCGGCGGGCTGCCAACTTGGATCTGACTGTATCAAAGTTGTAGTTTGATGGTTCCATCTTGTTGCCTTATGACTTTGTCTCTAGTTATAAACTTATAAGGAAGCTTATCATGTCAATAGATGTCTTCCAATTTTTGGTCTTGCACTGTAAAAGTAAAACCTAATTTGGGTTAATGTCAACTCCCAACTATTCGCTTTATTTATAAGAGTATGGCGGCACTCATCCTTTTTTTTTTGTGTTTTTCCGTTGGTTGAAAAACAGGGGTAAAAGCAAGAGCCCAAACAAACCTACTCAATAATAAATCTAGACCGCGACATTCCAAGTCGATCTTCACGAATGAAACTAAAGACACTCGTCCTTGAAGTTGAAGGCTTGAAACCTTCATCCTCGACTCATTAAACACACATATTAGAGGTATCATTTTAGAAATCAATTACGTATGGTTTTACAATTTGTTCATGATTATTTTTTATAATTTCTTCGTGCTAACGTGCATGTTTTGTTAACGAGAAAGGCTAATAATCTTCTCAACTTCTTATGACACTTGTACTCTACTAGCACTCAAAACTAAAATTTTAAAATTTTAAAATTTCATTATTTTACTTCTTCTGTTACGTGATATGAGTAAAAACGAGAATGTCTAAATGAGAAGATAAGTCACAGTGAGATTCAAAAAGTTCTTAGATATTCATCGTTTTGTTGTCTCCACTCAATCAAGGAGACACGAATAAAGTATAATTATGTCTCTTTAGTAAACAAAGAGAGTCAAATGAGTCTTCAAACACAAATTTATTAAAAATTAAATAATTAATGTCCAACTCACAATAATAATAATAAAAGACGTTTTAAATTTATTTCCTAGCAAAAAGAAATAATAATAAAAGAAGCTTTAAGTTCGAACCTCGCTTTAAAACCAAATCTAATTCCACTAGGTAAGCAAGCAAGCAAAAAACGAACCATAATAAAAGAACACCCTCACATTCTAAAGAAATTACTTAAAACATCTACGATCCAAGGTAGTTCTCTGTTTCCAAATGCTCTCTGATTTCCACACTAGCGCGTGTTACTTGGTGCTCGCGATTGTTGACCCTTGCCGCATCTTCTTCAGCCATGGTTGCCACAAAATTGTAGTACGAAGTGTTCTTCACCTTCATGTTGGCCCTTCCCTTCTCTTCTTCAGCGTTGGTTGGCATGAAATTGTAGTAGGGAGTGTTCTTATTAGCCATGAGAGTTTAAGAGTTCTTAATCCTTCTTTCCTTGTGGATGATCGAAGCTTTGATGGTTGAAACATTAAGGTTGTGTTTCCGATTTTATAATGATCTATGCACGGTATGTAAAAATATGTGACCGTTTAGGGTAGTGGTGCGGGGTTTATATAATGATATGTACATGTTGTGTAATAAAAAAATAAAAATATATACCCGGTTGTCGTAAAACGTCATCTACAAAGAATTACTATCTGGTTAAACAGTTATTTATTTATTTATAAACATGAGTATATGTAATAATAATAAAACGTGTTTAATATGTGTAATAATAAATACAAAATAATTTACCCACAAAGAAATTTCCTTTCATACGGAAGATGCCTATGATTTTTTTTGAAAAAAAAAAATGCATGTTATTCAAAATAATGAGCTCCTCCCTTAATTTTTTTTTTATATATGATATTAATATTTATGATACTAGAAATGTAAAATTTCTATATGGAGCTCATTGCTCATCATAATTAGGGTGAGTAATAACATTATTGACATAATTAAGGTTTCAACTCGTGTCATAGGTTGTAAAATATTGTCATAATTGGTCACATATCTATCTACGTGACAGTCTATTTGAAATTAGAATTTTATTTGAATGTCTAAGATTAGGTAAGTATTTGTTTAGAAAATAGGAGTCTCAAGGTCCTATTTGTAATGAACCCTAAAAAATCTTTTTTTTATTTTTTATTTTAATACAAGTGATATTATTTTATTTTATTTACAATAGAGGGAATAAAAGAGCTTAAATCTAAAACATAGTGGGTTGAAGAGGAAGAACTCAACCACCAGAGAAGTCCACCACTTGCAAAAGGGAACTTCGTATTATAAAATAATATATATATATATATATATATATATATTATGACGTTGATTCTTAATGATCGTTCTAGATCTCACACGTCAATAACCTTTTGAATTGGCCACCTTATGTGCCTCGATAATCAATTAGTAAGTTAATATTATGCTAATTGTATATATGGGACTAAATTTGTAATCCACAATATTTAATACAACTTCAGATTTGAATGAATTTTTACAATGATTTGGGAATGAGAACCTAAAAAATAAATGGTATAGATCATGAGATTATTTTTTGAAGAGAGTACAGACAAGTAGTTAACATGTATTAAGTTACTAATTATTTAGCTCTTCAACACTCATATAAGATGAGAGTTTCTTATGGAAGTTTTAAAATAATAATATTTTACGGTACTTTTATTTGCACTCAAAAAATCTATGAACTCCAAACTTTCTATATTTAAAAAAAAAAAAAAAAAAAAAACTTAGTAATGCACAATGAAGTTTTTGAAATGTTAGTAAGAGCACCCATATTTCAAACAAAGGAGCAATATTTTAACTAAACCAATAGGTACGTCGTACTAATATGATATCAAATCAAACTCATCATCCACAAAAATCTAACACAAGACCTCATAAGTGAAGAATATTATCAGACCGTAGTAATATGCTAAAAAGAACAAAGTAGTCGCCATAATAAGCCTACCATCAAGTAACCGTACAACGTCGGAGGGAGAAGGAAATGATGAATGCAATTGTGCTCCTGCTAATTGTGGAACCTGGATTCACAGATCGCATGTGCTTTCTGAATCATTCGATGCCTTTACCAACTTATGCTGTGCAATAACTATAATTTACTACAAATCTAAAACAAAAGTTGGTCGAAAATTAACAAAATACATGTGAGGTTGGTGCCAACTTCCATCAATCTCAACACATTCATTCAAGGCCAATCCATTAGGAATGATAAGAAATTTCTAAGCTACACGATACAACGAACCCCTCTCACTACTTTTGGACAAACATCAAACGCAAGCGAGTGGCACATGAAAGGGTTACTAGTTATTCAACCTAATCAAAAATTGGATTACAAATTCATCGGTCCGAATGACAAACATATTGTACCCTGTAAAGCATATAGACAACAACAACAACAACGGAATGATGTGCTACAGCGACAAGATACGACGACATATTTTACCTCCGTTGCAAGAAAACCCTCATCAAGGGTGAGATGATTACCAAACGCTTCTAGGACAATACATTTTCTGCAGCCTCACCCTTTGTCATGGGAGCATCAAAGCCTGTTCAGATAAACTGTCTACAGCATTCAGTCACTGCTATAACCCCTGCTGGTGCTTGCATCCCCGATAGAAACTGTGGCCAGTGACTTGGAAGCCCACACCCTGGCGTTCATTGCTCCTTCCTGCAAATTACTCCTCTTGCAAGGCTCTTTTAGAGAATTAAACAACTGTACTGCCCGCTTTAGAAAGCCAAGGGTGCTCCAACAAGCTTCCCAGTCTCATGTTTTGAATATGCTGTCTCCATGCAGATTGAACAAACGAAAGCAGAGCAGGATAAAAGGAGTAGAGCAATCTCAGAAGCACAAAAGCAGAAGCCAGAGCTAAATATGTTTCTTGCCGAAGCAAATTCTCTGGAGATCTAGCCCACGAAAACGGGCAGCTTTCCTGCTCAGTGCTATCATGCTTCTCATGATTTAGTGGGTATCCAATTTTTTCCAATGACAATTGATCCAGTGATACAGTCTTGATGCCTGCACCCATTCACCACAGTCAATAACTACCCCACAGGGTTATAAGATAAATACAACAACAGTGAGAGACTAAAGAATGGCAAATCTGATATAAGAAAAACATGATTCTGGATGGTGATGCAGAATATCAGAAAAAAAGAACAAGTTGTCCTGTAGGACTAAATAGAATCGGTGGGTCACAGATAACCTTAAAACAGTTATTTCAAATAAAAAACCACTTCTCTTTAGTATACATCACTAGATAAAAGGTTTTTCTTTACTGATTCCTATTCATCATACCAAATATAAAAAATAACACATAAAGTTCAAAATATAAGCCTACAATAGGAACAAAAAGACATACCAGTAACATGACTATAGAAAGCAATAAGAGAACCAGGAGTGCGGGCGCCTTGATATCGAATGCGTGTGGTAGAATTCAAAATGAAAAGAGTAGGAAATCCATGAACTCCATATTTAGAGAGTATACTGCAAACAGTTAATCAGTTAAGTTCCAATTTCTAATAACAAAGCGTTTAGAATATGATCAATATCTGCAGATATTTACAAACCTTGGCCTGATGGCTGATTCTTCAAATGCAAAATGTGGGATTGAAGGATACAAAGAAGCCAGGATGGAAAATGTTGGTTTAAACATCCTTGAGAAAGGGCACCATGATGCATAGAAGAGCACCGCCGCATAATCATGAGTATTCTTGTGAACCATATTTAATGCCCTTTGTAAAGAAACCTCATCCCCCTTCAAAGCAGCAATACAAACAAATTAGAATAACAAATATGTAAGAGAAAAGAAATTCAACTTTCAACGCATACGTAAAAATAAAAAACATTTTTTGTCATCCCAGCACTAGTGTAATCCACGGAATTGTGATAAAAGCTGAATGTTATTGTTATCTCAATTGTGCATTGCAGATTCATCTTCAGTGCCATCTATTCCCTCTACTTTCGGAAGAAAAACGCTTCCATTACCTCACCCCTAAAAAGAGTTTTTAGGCACTAAACTAAACTGCATGTGATATTTACAGCATTCAAAGGAGAAACTGGTTGCAGGATTCTAGTCTTCAAGTGACTGCTTGAGACAAGTATTGTTCTTGTTTATCCAAACATATAAATTCGGAAAAGGGTTCGCTATCAGAGGTCACCAAAGCACTCAAAATACAAATGTAGCAAAACTCAAAAACCTAAACTGATCCTCTTGGAAAAGCTCTATGAATGAAACAATTTTGGATAGAGGCCGGCAGCTACTTTGAACATCATTGGGAAAATGGGCATTGCCCAACTAGGTCTTTCACAAGAACAATACAAATTCCTAACCTAATTGCAAGGTCAATGCATATACCGAAAACCGAATTTTTAATAAACACATAAACAAATAAAAACAGCATCTCCCTAATCTGTACCTCCAACCCAGATACTGAGATACACCACCAATGATATAATTCTAAATAAAACATAATTTCCCCGAAATAAAAATTAATAGCAATACACTAAATAGATAAACAATTGTGTACCACGATAACACCCATGGATTCAACGGATCTGGAAGCGCCGTTGACGGGGCAATTGGAATACCGGAAGCCGAAGATCGCATCGGCTGCGGACTCCGCGGGGCAAGAGGTGGGTTCGGCGGCGGAAATTAGCCGGACCCATAAAACCAATATCACGATCCCACTTTCCCAAACCCTAATCCCCATTTAAGAATCAAAACCTCTCCAAACACCAAATTAACCGAAATAAAAAAAAAAAACGAAAAACTAAAATGGGGAGCTGCTCGGCAACAGCGCGACGGCGGATGAGGAGCAAGAAGGAGGGGGCGCAGGGGAGAAAGCCTGGCGCATTTCAGCGTCGAGGCTTGTTGGTTGGGGAAGTAGATTGGATTGGATTGGATTATTAATGGTAAATTTGGGAGAAAATCGGTTGGTTTATTTGGAATTATTGCGGGGAAAGGAAGGGGAAAAAAAGGGTGGTTTTGGTTTTGGTTATGGTTATGGTTTGGGTAGTTTGGTTATGGGGTGGAGAGGAGAGGAAAAGCCGAGACGTGGAGATATCGGTGAGTTCTTTGTTTGAGTCACGCTCGTGTGCTTCTCTGTAATTGCCAACTCCTTTCTCCACTTTCTCAGGTGGATTTTTTAATTTTTTTTTTTTAAACAAACGATATTATTTACATTTAAAAAAATAAGAAAGTGGATTAAATTTCATAATGGATTAGCAATAATATAATTCGGTGTTTATTAAAAACCTCTCGATTCCTTTATTAATTTATTTACATAATGGTGTTTTAATTTAGCTTTTAGGAATAAAAAATAAAAAATGCTACTTTTTTCTGTGATGATAATGAAATGGTGTTTTAAATCTCCCTTTTTATAATTTAAAACAAAAAAGTTATTTGGTGGGTTGTTTGGGTCTGCGGGTGTATTAAGGACCATAGGTGCTCAACTTGACTCAAATAATATTATTCGTGCTTAATCTCAAAAAATACATTAACCCATGCTCAAGCTTAGCTTAAATTATTCTTTTAAGTTCGATTTTGACTCAGCTCGTTTGTAAATCAAAACTCAAAATTTCGAGTGGCTGGTCGAGCTTGTTTTCTTAAATGAGCTCGAGCTTACGTTTGTTTAATTTAATAAAAAATAGAAATTAACAAAATTAAACATGATAACAAGTCGTTGATGTTAATAATAACAAGCCTAATATGTTGTTACAATTCAACTAATTTTATTTACCAACCGAGCCAAAACAAAATAAAAAGGAGCTAAATATGAGTCGAACTCAAAGCATTCGAGCCGATTTACAGTCCTATCTAGAAGTATCTAAACTTGTTATTTGAGAACTTAAGTAAAAGGGCTTATACAGGTGCCGAGAAATATTGTGCGTTTTTACCAAGAAAAGCTATCTGATAGTTATGGAAAGATAATATTTATAGGCTTTTAACGAAATTTCTAAGCAATTTAAACAAAATAGTTTCTCCAACAAATGGAAAAAAAAAAAAAATGGTTGCTATCAAATCACTTCCCGCGGCAACATCGTTGATACCAATGTGGGTGATAATGTAGTTTCTGTTACTCTGTTCAGTGGGCTCATTACACTGGTTTATAATTGTGTGAATACAATAACAATGAGCAAGTGCTTTTAAATTATCACGTCAGCTTTTAATTGACTTCGTTTGAAAGTACTTTTCAAATAAGTAAAAGCTCTATTGGTCAAAATGTTTTGGATTCCAACAGAACTTGAAGTCCATTCTAAAAGAAGCACTTCAAGTGCTTATCCCTGATTCACTTGCAATTTAACTAAAGATTGATTACATAGCACTTTCAGTTATTTTAAAAACACTCCAAACGTATAACATCGGTTTTCTCCTAATAACATAGTCGAATACGAGGGCATGGCCGCATTGACTACTGACTAGTGCCCACCCGCTTTCCAACGCGCCCGAGTTTAAATATCTCCAGTCGTAATTTAGATTCAACTAGAGAAGAATATCGTCTCATAACAAGACCTCCATGGCATCCCATCCACCCAGAAGAATGGGCGCCACTGGAGCACTGAATTTTACAGCCACCAGGATGTACGCATGGCAGCCAACACACCAGATCCCATGAACAGGAAGACAGAAGCAAAACACAAATCTGAATATTCTTTATGGCAGGCATCCCATACCCCATATCATTTCCAACACCAGTTTTACCTTGTCAGAAAAGTTAACAGGGGTTGGAAAGTTTCAACGGTGGACGCTAAGACGAGGCTTGTTATTAACACTCTAAAAATGTCATCTTGCAATATCAACATAAACGAGAAACAACTCGATTACGGTTTTGAAAACAATTGCAATAACACGCCACAGCTTTACATAGCTTACTGCGCAGATGGCTAACAAAGGTAAACCTTTGCTAAGAGGAAAGAGAACACTTCACTGCTGCGAATGTTTTCATAATACATCCTCTAATCCATATCCCTCCATCACATGAGATTGGGGAAATAGAAAAGTAAAAGTAAAAATCCAGTAAGAGCTTAACAATGAAGAGATAAAATGTAAGGAGGGGGAAGGGAGAGATGGTGATAGCGGAAACTAGCAAACGATCACTTGTTTAATGCAAGTGATTTCCGCATTTTTTCTCCTCCTACATACCTCTCTTTACTTGTGTCCGTTGATTCTCCTTTGCTTTATTCATTCCAAAGGCCTGAAAAAGGAAAGTGTGCAGAAGGAACAAAAAAAGGGCCGAACGAAAATCATTTCGCTTGTTTAGAACCCCCCATTATACATTTCCCCCAAGTTGTACTATGAGAACAAAGTAGATCTCGAGCCTCTTTGACAAAATAGTCATGTTCTTACCAGCATAAGAATTCTTATATCTTCATTAACAAAATAAATGTTTTGTTTGCGAGGCTAATATTCGGAGCAGAAAATGTTATCCGAGTTGTTATGCACAAGTTAGTCCAAAAACCTAATTGGACATTCAGTTTCTCTCTCGTGCGGAGAATATGAAAAAAATCCTCCGCTGGAAAGGAAAGAGAGAAGGCCTAAATCAATCAGAAATATGAAACAATCATTTAGACCTAAAGGGAAGCCAAGGAAAAAAAAAAAAAAAAGTAAATGTGCTGCAGCAAGTAACCTCTGGCAAGAAATGGACATATAGCTCCATACCAGAACCAGAAATATCAGCCTCTTGCATAGGAACAATAGATCTATCAACGAGCAAAAGTGATCTTCAAAACAGTTCCAACAAAGCCTGCACGTAACTTAACACATCAGAACAATCCACAATCATTCACGACGACATTATCTTCAGTAAAAGCATAATAGTAAACAGAAGATAAATCATTCTTCAATGAAAATAGAACATATTGGGGCTTAATTCGGCATTGCAAACACATAAGACTTGAATCTGCATTGCAAACGCATAGACTTGAATCTTGAATGCCAAAACAGACAACTAAAAATAAAAGAAATTTAACCCACAAGATCGGAAATAGGACCAAATTTGTATCCTCTCTCTCCCCATTGATAAAAAAAAAAAAAAAAAAACAGAAGAAAGGGCCAAAGCAACCGTTCTGTTGTTAGATACGATAATTACCTCAACCAAGAATTCTTCTTCTTGCAAGGAGGATGAATATATAACAAGAAAACCATCACTGGGTGCAGCACTACGAATGAATAACTACAAAAAATCGCCTGAGAAATTGACCTGGCAGGTCGCACACATCAAACCAACAGAACCAGGTGGTGTTCGTTCATAGACCTCATGATGAAACTCATTTCTGCACCAGACACAGGTGTTAATCTCATGCCTGCTTGTGATATTTGGCATTGAGGGCAAAGATTCCTTTTCAAGCCAATCAGATGAACTGAAACCTTGTTCCAGCTCTCCATCATATGACAACACTTTTGATTCCTTTGTATGTGAGGTTGCTTGCACTGTCGGGATATTATAATCAAACTGACCCGGTCCCAATCCTTCCAAACCTGACATGTTGTCAAACTTTTCATTTACACTTAAAGCTCCGTTTGCACCCTGTTCATTGAAGCAAAATTTGATATAAAGTCATTTCTACTGAAAATACAACATATCAGATTCTTTGCAAAGTTTAGTAGTAAAGAAAAAGTTGAACTCATTCACTGGAGGAAGACGGATAGACTACCAAAGAAACTCACTGTATGTTATGTTTCAAAACATGTCTAAAACTGTGCTCTAAGAAAGAAAGAAAAAGTGAAACTATGCAGGCAGTGGCGCATTTAGGATTTGAATCTTGGACGGTCCCAGTGTTAAAGGTCCAAGTTTTTTAAATAGAAACAGAGCGCAAAGCACGCAAAAAAAGTTTCAGTTTATTCACTGAGGCATTTCGTCAAACATTTGATGAGCGATATCGAGAAAATTTATCGAGTGTTGTCTACGCAACCTGTCGAGTGTAGCCCGCACAACCTATTGAGATATGCCGAGCAGGTATTACATCAAACACTTGGTAGGTACAAAAGGACCCGTACAAAACATTCGGAGGGTCCTTGGAAGACCTTAACATGTATATTTTCTGAACTCAGGGTGGTCCTGGGACCACCTAGGTCCCAATGTGCATCCGCCTTTGTATGCAGGTAAAACAAAAGCTGAAAAGTATACTGCAGTCTCAAATAAATGTCCTCTACATACATCACAGTCCCTAATACATATAATCTCTATAGACAGCATACCTTATCAGACAACATATCAAAGTTCGGATAGTATCCAGATGACTGCATGAGTTCAGATGATGCATCAGCCAATCCACTCTGCTGAACATTATGCTCATCAGTTCTCCACATAAATTCAGCCATGACATCCCCAGAAGGTTGGGAATGATTTAGAAAACCCGTCATGGGCTCATTGTTCCTGGATTTTTCGGCACTCTCAGTATTAGGCTGCTCCCACACTATGCTGCTATAAACCCTGTTTAGATTATTTTCAAACCCAGAGGTTTGTTCATTACCATTTCGATGTATTAAACCATCAACAGAACCTCTAATCTGCTTATCATCCAACACTGAGCTACTGAAAATGCCAGTTACTTTATTTCCAGTGAAAAATGTTTGGCTATTCTCTGAATGAACAATGGAAGGTCCTCCTGAACTTCTTTCATGCACAGTGTTTGTTATAGAATTGGAAATTGGTCCAGCACAACTGCTGCCAAAAGAAAGCATTACCTCGTTATTCCAAGAACTTTTTGCCTCCTCCTTTTTTGATTCTTCCATTGAGCTTGAGTATGTGCTATTCACACTCTGTGCATAGCCAGAGGAGTAAATCATACCAGTTTCAGAAGAATCCCTGCCCTGTTTAACAAATGGAACAGATACATTAATTTGAAAACTCTTTTCCTGCCAGAGTTCCTCCTCTATGTAACTAGGATTCTTTGCATTACCTAAATTGATACAACTTTGTCCATCCAGACCTGGAACGCTTGAAGAGCTCCCAGTACTTATAACATGCTCATTGATTTCCATCGCAACCACATTCAGCATACCATGCTCGCTGCTTAAACTGATTGCCTTGTCCTCATTCCCAGATAGATCAGTATTATCAAACTTGGGCCTATAAGATGTGCAGAGTGACTCACTATTGTTAACATCCCTGACATCACATGTTTTCTCATCAGTAGTACTACATAAACCTCTTTCAGAGCCTCTTTTCTGCTGAGACTGTATGATAGTTGAAGGAAGAAGCGAGCAGGCTTCAGAAGTGCTTTGCTGCAAGAAATTAGTACAAACATTCTCGGGTCCAATGCAACTCACACTAATACCAGATATTGACCTGCCATTCCCACAATCATCCACATCATCAAATTTTGTATTTTCTTCTGTGCTAGTTAATTGGTTGTCATCAAAATTCTCAGACCTCCGTTCTTTTTGCATACCATTTAAAGCAGTACCAGTGTCCACTTTGGGCACATCAACTGTACTCACAGAAGCCTTATAACCATCATTTATTCCATCATTGAAGCAGTCCAAAGTATTTGTTTCACCAAAGCTGAGACCAGGACCAGTAGGCTTATCCACCAACTTATCATTTGTCAAATTAACTGCACTACCCTGCTCAGAAAATCCCAAATCCTTACCAAGTTTATTATTCTTCAAGGCTTGATCCTCACAAGACAATGAATTAAATTCATGGTTGTTTGTTCCAAAACAATTTGTTATATCATTATTCACTTTACCACAAGGAAAACCAGCACTCAATTCACATTTGGCTACCGCATCAGAAGATAGTTCCCCGTCTATTTGACCCGACTCATGAATCTTCAAAGATGTTTGCAGAATACCAGTCTTTATGGGGTCAACTTTCTTACACATACCCATTTCTTCTCCTGCTTGAAATTCCTGTGAATTTTCTGTATGAAATAAGTTTTCTTGCTTCTCATGACCAGGTGATACAAAAGTAATAGGCATTAGAGAGCGGCTAGCAAGCTCATTAGCTTTGATCTCATCTTCAAAGGTATTAGTATCCTGTTGCATACCCTGAATATATAACATGAATGAAAATAACAGAATGATAGAAAATAACAAAAAGGGTGCATAGAGTGACTTACATCTCCAGAAACCAATTTATTAGAAAGCTGAATACTGCCATCAGTATGTCCAGGAATTGACTTGTTTCCAACTCCAAAATAAGAGATCAAGTACGAAGAAACTTCCTCGCACGACACAAACTGCTGCCCATTAGGGCTGAATAATACCAAATTAGGGAAACTAGTATAAGAGCCAGGCAACCATCTAACTTAAAAATGCAAGGCCAAAATTAATAGTAGCTATCCCAAAATAGTTGATACTTTTTGCTATGGGATATTTAATGAAACAATATACAATACACCACCTGAGAAAAACAAATACAGAAAATTTGATTTACCTCCCATACCCTTCTCCCAAAAGACAAACCATGGGTATCAAAGCACCAACTTCCATAAATCAGTTTACTCAATGAAGTTATGTTCAAGAATTGAAATTTCACCAATATTTCCGATATATTGGACAAAATTTTGTACTGACTTTCCACAAAATTTCAGTGGCTTTGGTTAGATATCAATTATTTGGTGGAATATCTCCAAAATTTCATAGTTTTTTTTAATGGAAATATCAATTGAATTTTGGTGGAATTTCAAAACCAAAATTACCCACCCAGAGGCAAAGAAGAGCAGCAGTGTGGGGCAAGTTGCAGAAGAGTGCTGGTGTAAAAGGTTGGCTCAATACAAGCCAAGATGGATGTGAAGAGAGTCCAACATCGGAGAAGTACAACAATAATCTAAGGTTTAAACATATGTGTTCCACTTCTAATTGCACCGAGGCCTTTAGAGATAAAACCCCACCTGAGGTCCATTGGGCTTGATACCACCCAGGGGATTAGGCCTAGGTGGTTAAGTGGGGACAATATCGGTGCATGGCAGCCTTAGTAGTGGACACTAATGGAGCCCTTGACAATACAAAGAGCGGGCGGTCCAGAGGAGGATGAAGAAGACCCAGAGGTGTTTTGTTTTAAAATGTATAACGAACTGCCAATATCAAAATGAAAATGAATTGAAAATTGAATCATTATGGCTGGAATCAACCTCCAATGGTTGTTCAATCATACATTAATTTCAACACCCCATCCAAATTAATAGAAACAAATTTGAATCACTTTCTTGTTTTGTTTGGACAGATTTAAATCACTTAGAAATATTAGAACATTGTATATGTAATGTAGGGGATGCAATTTAAAGAGTTTTATTTACTAGTGTTTTATAGGCAGGAATTGATTTTCGCACACCTTTTTTAGCTTTTTCCACACCCCTTGTTTCAGGCCATCAAATTGAATATATCACATGAAAACAAAGGACAGGATTAACCATGGGTGCGTATGAAGCTAAAAAAGTGTGTGTTCATCATTTCCCTAGCATATGTAGTTTTAATTATTATGCTTTATTTTGTAGTTGAATTTTATGGTATTCTTTCCTTGACCGGCCGAAATTTCTTCTTTTAGGAGGATTTTATGGCAAGGTTTTAACGAGGGTGCTTTGTAGCTTTTGCACCTTTATCATTGTAACCATCATTTTATACGTTAATTAGTTTGTTTTGGAGTTTGTAGAGGCTCGCATATAATTTAAATGTTCAACAGCTCCTCTTTTTTCATTTTCTTTTTTAACCAGTATTTCAATCAATATCGATGTACCTTTCCATATATCTCTCTATTCGGGCTACCAAAATTGAAACTCATATCCTTCGTTGCGTGCGCCCTAAATTAGCAATGTGTCACATGAGTTTCTATTGAGCACCCAATTTAAACTCAAAACATTTTTATTGACAATGAGAGAACTACCTTATGTATCGTTTACAGAAGAGTCGAACTAGACCTCCATTCCTCTTGAGAGCCAGCAAAATCTTCCAATGCACCGGCAACACGTCACCAAGCTCTTCCGCAGGCACAATCTTCCTCTTCTTCCTAGCGCTAGACCACTGCCCCTCCAACCCTCCCAGAAACGCTAACAACTGCGCCTCCGTATCCATCCCCTCCGTCCTCCTCCTCAACTCCTCCCCAAACAAACCGTCCGCATTCTCCACCGCAGCTAAGTCCACAACAACTCCATGTCCGTTCACCATAACGATCTCAGCCTCCTCCACCTTCACATTTCCTTCCTTGACTTTCGCCTCCTTTACCTTCACTTTCTTCTCACGCTTAGCCACCGAAACCACTCTGTTCTCATCTTTGCGCGGCCGGCCTCGCTTCCGGCTGCCCTCACTGCTCTGAACAACAATCCCGGGCGTCGTATTGTCACCCCCACGCATCTCCATCGAAACATCAGCGTTGACACTCGGGTAAGATATAGTGGCATTGGGATATTTACGCGGACGGCCTCTCTTCCTCTTTGTACCGACATCGACCGAGAGTCCAGCAGAGAAGTTTTCCGCAGAGGGGCCGGGCGTGGCATCGTATTGGGCGAGGCGGACGGGGACAGGGACAAGTACGTCGTCGTTTTCTTTTAGGGCTTTTTCGGAGGGAAATAGCTGCTTCAAGAGAGCGATAATCTGGAGGGTTTCGGGGTCTCGGGGTTGGGAATGGGGAATCGTTTTCTGCGATTTGGGGTTTGGGACTGGGAATTGGGAGTTGCGAGGAGCGAGGCGGAGGCGGGAGTATGTCTGCTTGCGGCTGCCGGCGGATTCGTTGAAGACGGAACGGTCGATTTTGGGGATCAATACATTGTCGTCGAAGCGGCGGGTGGGGCGGGATTGGGATGAGGAGGAGGAGGAGGTGAGGGAGAGAGAGTAGAGGTCTGATTGAGAGAGCAGGCCGAGGTCAATGAGAGGGAGGGATTCAAGGTGGAGGTGGTTAGGGTTAGGGTTGCGGTGGTCGACGACGGGCGGGAAGGCCATGGCATTGAACAGTGAGGAAGATGGAGAGATTTGGGAGGAGAAGAAGAAACGAATAGCGGACCACCGTGGATGTTAAACGACTAGGCGTTTCGGGACCCGACTTTTGATTGAGTGGCGCGCAGTGTCGTTTGACTTCTATGAGAACCCAACTACATTCTGACAAGTGTGTAATTTACATTAAATTGGTTCACAACTACAAAAAAAACGTTCTGGTGCTATTATATATTGTCATGTAAAAAAAACTTACACATGACAATATACTTTTGGATCAAGATGTTAAGTTTTAAATTACTCGTTTCACGTAAATTTTTTTTTTGCATGATAGGTAAATACTAAAATCAAGGCTTTGAGTATTTGATCAAAGTTTTTGAAACATTTTGTGACATCCCACATCGCCCAGGGGAGTGATCCTTATATGTATATTCTCATCTCTACCTTGCACGAGGCCTTTTGGGAGCTCACTGGCTTCGGGTTCCGTAGGAACTCCAAAGTTAAGCGAGAAGGTGGTTAGAGCAATCCCATGATGGGTGACCCACTGGGAAGTTGCTCGTGAGTTCCCAAAAACAAAACCGTGAGGGAATGGTAAGCCCAAAGCGGACAATATCGTGCTACGGTGGTGGAGCGGGCCCGGGAAGTAATCTGCCCCGGGCCGGGATGTGACAAATTGGTATCAGAACCTAACCCTAGTCGTGTGTGTGCCGACGAGGACGTCGGGCCCCTAAGGGGGGTGGATTATGACATCCCACATCGCCCAGGGGAGTGATCTTTATATGTATATTCTCATCTCTACCTAGCACGAGGCCTTTTGGGAGCTCACTGGCTTCGGGTTCCGTAGGAACTCCGAAGGCCTTTTGGAGCTCACTGGCTTCGGGTTCCGTAGGAACTCTGAAGTTAAGCGAGAAGGTGGCTAGAGCAATCCCATGATGGGTGACCCACTGGGAAGTTGCTCGTGAGTTCCCAAAACAAAACCATGAGGGAATGGTAAGCCCAAAGCGGACAATATCGTGCTACGGTGGTGGAGCGGGCCCGGGAAGTAATCTGCCCCGGGCGGGGATGTGACAAATTGGTATCAGAACCTAACCCTGGTCGTGTGTGTGCCGACGAGGACGTCGGGCCCCTAAGGGGGGTGGATTGTGACATCCCACATCGCCCAGGGGAGTGATCTTTATATGTATATTCTCATCTCTACCTAGCACGAGCATTGGAGCTCACTGCTTCGGTTCGTAGGACTCGAGGCCTTGGAGCTCACTGGCTTCGGGTTCCGTAGGAACTCCGAAGTTAAGCGAGAAGGTGGCTAGAGCAATCCCATGATGGGTGACCCACTGGGAAGTTGCTCGTGAGTTCCCAAAAACAAAACCGTGAGAGAATGGTAAGCCCAAAGCGGACAATATCGTGCTACGGTGGTGGAGCGAGCCCGGGAAGTAATCCGCCCCAGGCCGGGATGTGACACATTTGCTAAGGGTTAGTTTAGGATTGTGGTGTTTTTTAAGGAAAAAAACTTATTAAAAAAATATGGAACATCAATTGTGTTTGGTAAAACAAAAAAAAAAAAATTTATTTAAAAACTGTTGTCAATAACAGTAGAAAATCATAGAAAAGTATAAGCATGCTAGAAAAAAAAAAATTACAAAGCATAGTAATCAGTGCCCGTTTAATGAATTTTTCAAATAACAAGTATACGCCCACATATTTTACAAAACTCAATCATTGCCCCTACGTTATTTTCTTTGACCATTATTATATCACATTAAATATTATATCATTTTTAGTCATTTAACATATTCATAACAATTTATATAAAAGTTTACCAAAACACATTTTTTTATTTTTGTTAACAACACTTTTACAAAAAAAAAATAAAATGCTTTACCAAACACTCAACAACTTTATTTTACAACCGATTACTCACACAGCACAGCAGAAGCAGTTTTTTTATTTTTTTTAAAGCATAGCAATACCAAATTAGCCCTAAATCAGTTGTTGATTTTCAAACCCAAACCACAAACCAAACTAAGAGCATCTTTAATGGACTTCTTGAATGAGCTTTTAGCAAAACCATTAGATAAGGTAGGCTTTTTCTTAATGGTTATTTAATACTCTCGCTAATGATGTAAACATTTCCATTTGAGTTTAACAAAATTACTACCATTTGGCAAAAAAAAAAAAAACTCCAAATGACCCTATCCGCCAGGCAAAATAGAAATTTCTCTGAGATATCCTATATTTAGGCAGGAGAAAAGAGCTCTTAGAGCATCTTTAAAGGAGATGTCAAATTTGAAACATCAAAATGATAGTTGATAGCTTATGTGGCAATTTGACATTTTGTACAATATTTTGCTCTACCCGATATGTTAAATAATAATGTCATTGTCATTTAATAAACATTTTATCTTTTTGTGGAGTCCAATGATTAAGGCAACCAATCAAATATTTCAAAAAACATAACAACATTTATTATATATTATATTAATCTATTAAAATATCATTTAATAAATTGGACATCTGCTGTCAAATTTGACAACAAAAGGCTTTGCCTTCAAATGACTCAGCGCCACCTAAGAAACTGAAGGCTCGATTGGAGAGAGTTTGCTGCCATTTTTTATTGTTGTATGCCTACGTGGCAATTTTGACATCTCCTTTGGAGATACTCTTAGTAGCTCTTTGTAATTTATGCTCCATTTTTAATATTATTTTAAACAAAATAATTAATTCGTATGTTTGTTCTAAAAAATTAAAATTGAATTCATTAATGATCAAAATACGAATAGAAACATTAATATTAGCAACTAATAAATTGAAAATTCAAGCGGACTCTAAGTCGTCACATTAGAAACCACATTGCTCTTTAACGATAAAAGCAACCATTAAGTACGCCGCCTTATTACAAGCTCGAGGGTAAAAATGAAATTTGGCTGACTCCAAATGAGAAGCTAAGATGGAAATATTGTGGATAGTCCCTTCCACATGCATCCCAGTGATCTTCTCTATCGTCACTATATCCAAAATCTCTTTAGCAAGTGATTCCACCTCCACATTTGTAAACCTTTGCTCTATACAAGCAATAAGTATGGCTTGAATAACCTCTGCCTCTGCCTTCATCACACTAGAGCAAAAACGAAGGCCACCAGCTCCACTACCTCCTTTTTATAATTAACTCATATTGGCTGGAGCTTCAAAAATAACCTTGAAGAGGTCTGAAAAGGTAGATAACATTGAAGAGTCTTGAGGTTACTGGCCTTTTTTACCTGGTTAATTGTTAGTTTGCATGTGCAACGCTATTTTTCTACTTTAAATTTCCCACGTGATTCTCTTCAAGATGTTTTTTTTTATAGCAAATGCATTAGTGTACTATCTATAATTTGATGTTTCTAACGGCTCTAAATTGTGTATCATTGAATGCTACGTGGTAGTCTCGGAAAATTAGTTTTTATGAATGTTAGAAAGATTGTAAAATTGGTGGATAGGATTGAAGACACTTAGAATTGTGTTAGATAGGATATCTCCTTCGCATGTAAAGATGCATCACCACACCTATACGCAACCACTGAATTGATATTAAAGACAACCCTGAAGGTACTACGATTTTGGGCAAATCCCAATGCATCTCGAGCGGATCCAACCCTCTTGATCCTCAGAATAATGCTTGCCTTGTTTGTTATGCAGATGCTAGTTACTTATCAAACCTACACAAGGCAAATCCCCAAATAGTTATGTCTTTACCATCAAAGGATATCGCAATATCTTGGAGGTCCACTATATGACCTAAGTTGTGAAATATTCGAATCGTTCCAAGGCTCACCTTACTTCACTACACCACAAGTGAGAGATGGTTAGGAGTTCTTGTTGAGCATATTCGATGTACTTGCTGTTTTCATCCATCGTTGAGTCCCAACAACGATCCATGAAGATTATGCCGCATATATCAACCCGATACATCAACAAAGTCAACGCCAAGACATATTGCGTCTACATCACATCAGCAAAGCATCAGGAGATTGAAGTCATGCAAGTTGATCCCAGACAACCTTGCCAACCTCTACATGATGTTACTGCCGAAGTCAACCTTCCAAAAGCTTGTCCGAGGAATTGGTATGCCTAACTATCATATGTAATGCTTGTAGTGTCAATTGTAGGCGACGATTGGTGACCTTTATATACCATCCCTGTGTTTTCTCTTCCTCATTGGAGGCATCTGTTGATTAGACACAATCTTGATGCTATGCATATCGAGAAGAATATATGTAACAATGTGGTGGGAACATTGCTAGATATAGAAAAGTCTAAAGATGGATTAGCTGCACGTGCAGATCTTGAAGTCTTGAACATAAGACGTAGTCAACACCTACGCAGAGAAGGAAATAGAACATTTCAACCTCCAGCATTGTTCATGTTGAAAAAAGAAGAAAAAACAGCCTTTTGCAAAGTGTTTCTACTATTCGAGTCCCCAATGGATATTCATCAAATTTGTCACGATGGGTGCACATGAATGAATAAAAAAATACATGGGTTGAAAAGTCACGATTGCCATGTTTTAATGCAGCAATTACTCCCGCTTCCAATACGTCTGATTTTTCCTAAAGCTGTTACTATGGTATTATTAGAGTTAAGTTTAATTTTCAAACAGCTGTGTAGTAAGAAGGAGTCTGAGGAAAGATTCAAGCAATTGAATTCAAGAATTGCATTGACATTATGTCAACTTGAAAAAATATTCCCTCTTGCATTTTTGATGTAATGGTGCACCTCCCAGTTCACTTGGCAGATGAAGCAGCTCTTGGAGGGCCTGTCCAATATAGATGGATGTATCCAATGGAACGGTAATTAACAAAATAATTTATATTTTTTTTACAATTGTAGTCATAACTTTAATTAGTAATTATAATAATTTGTGTTTCATTTAATAATTGTAGGTATTTGCAAACACTGAAGCGCTTTGTTCATAATAAGGGTCATCCTGAAGGTTCTATTGCTTAAGCATATTTGGTGGATGAGTGATTGTCCTT